AAAGAACTACCTTGCCTCAATCAGCAATTACACCATGTAAATCTAAAATTATCCTTTTAATTTACACCTTTTCACGTTCTGTTGTTACTATTTGTCTTATTAGCATTTTTGCCTACTTATTATTCAACTTGCTTTGTAATCATTCATTCAACTGAAGATGACAGAAGTTCTGTCGAAACATGTTTTTTAAACTTAAGAAAGTGGTCGTTTTCCTTAAAATATTTGATTAAAAAACTAAACTTTTTTCCATGTTGTGATTTATGAAACTGTTCTCTGAAAATCGTGGAAATGCCATTTCCAAGCCACTAAAAATTTCAGTTTCTCTGTGTGTGGAGGGAGGGGAAACGGGGTGGCTTTGCTCCCATAACCGCTTCGCGCCTCGCGCCTCGTTTCACTTTCTTTTCGGTACGCAATTACAAAACTCCTATTTTTTCCGGTTAGCTGACTATCCAGGCAAAGGAAATTGACATCCACCTGAATAAGAATATTCCATTCAAGGATTGTTTATAATGTAAAAATACGCACGTTTGTCCGTTTGTGGTCACATTTTCAACAGCTTTGTTGCTCTTCGATGCGCTCGGCGGTGACAACAAGATTTTCACGTCGCTTCAAATGTCACAAGATTGGGTGACACTGTCAACCATGCACACCACAGGGAATTAAAAATGTACGTAATTAGAAATTGTCTATGTCTGCAACCTGAGACACAATGCATCGATCAAACAACGGAAGACGTAGGACGTAATCAAGGATTTTGGAATGAACAGAGCTGTTACTTTCTTGTTAGTCTGTTTAATCTTAGCGGCGATATGTTTGCTGTTGACTATCGTCTTCCAAATGGATTCTATATCACTTCAGAGACCAGCGGGGATGCGTTTGTCCATCGATAATGCCTATTATGCTAATCGTACCGGAAAACACTGCAACGATATTTCATTCAGTTCGGGCGAAATGTGCCCCAAGCTATACACAGAACTTGGGGGAAGATGCGACTTTATCAACGGTACGCTTCAATGTTCTGATATTCGTCACTACTCAAAGTTCCGTATCCGCCAAGCACAGCTCGCAATGACTCGAATGCTTCGCATCTTTGACCTGCTCGCCCAGAAGCATGAAATCTACTACTGGATAGCACGGGGAACTTTACTCGGCGCTGCAAGACATCATGGATTTGTTCCCTGGGATTTAGATGCCGATATTGAAATTCCTTTAGACGACTACGTCAAATTTTTTCAAGTTGCAGCGAAGGAGTTACCGGCTGATATTTTCTTTCAAAATACTATTAGCGATCCTGCGTTACACCCGGACGATCCATCGGGTTTTCACAGGCATGAAATTGTTGGGATCTACCAAACGACCTGGAACCCAAGACTGAGGGACAGAAACAGTTGTTATAAATACTGTATGGCTTATGGATGTAAGTGGCATGATGGATTAATGGTTGATATTTTTGTTTTGCGTTATGTAGACAGCTCGGTTTATCCTTTGAAGCGATTACCTTTCGAGGGATTCACACTCCCTGTTCAGAACGACTGGAAAAAGGAATTAAAGTCAACTTATGGGAAACATTGGTTTGAATTTCCAAAGGATAGAAGGCCAGATGAAAACCCAGACGTCTTTAATGGTTGTGAGAAACTGAAATCCTAATGTCCGATGTTGATTTACGTATGCTGCAAGTTCCCACGAGTAACATTAAACAACAAGAATTGACGAGTTAGAGAGTTTCGAGGGTGTTCGAAGGTGTGAAGTAAATTATAGAAAGAAGTATAAGTTTACATTTACTAGTTTGCATTCAGATCAAAAAGCCGCAGTTTATCGACAAAGAATTACAAACTTGCTTGAAAGTATTAAAATTATAGAATAAATAAATATATGTGTGTCTAGATCATCGATTGGTATTGCTGAATTCGTTGAATTTCATTTTCTTCGTGTACTACCGTGAGAGATGTGTTACAATTCACGTCGCATCCTCGTTCCCAGGGTGTCTCTCCTCCAGGAGGCGTTAATAAGAAAGAGACCCTGGGAGCGACGTCGCAATTTCTTCGGATTCGCTACTCGGAACAGGTAATGTCTCCGGACAGGAACCATAATCGGGGACGGAGACCGTAAGCGCGCGCCATTTCTAGTATTGGGACTCTCCCTATGATATGGGACAATTTTTCTATTTTTAGAACAAATTGCGCCATCATCTGCGGGACACGCGCGTACATTCTGCGAGGATTTTTGCGGATCGATGTAGCGCGAGAAAATGGCGTCCGAAATTCCCGAAATGTTTGATGCTTTTAGCCCACGAATCAATACGTTCATGTCTGTTGGAAGTTTACTTCAGTATTTTCGTCGTAAGCTGCTCCAGTTTGCGTGAAGTTAGACAGTATCGAATTTAGTTATGTCCCGCTTTATATCACTGACCAAGTTGTGTTCCGCTGCTTCTTTTCCAAGAGTTCCACATTACTCCACTCTAAGTTTCACATATGTTGAAGATTAACAGCTTTTCCATAACACAGCAAAAAACTAGTTGGACATATCTGGATATAGCAGCGTTTCAGGACTTCAAAGTTTCCCTCCTCTTGCCACACACTTGCGAGGATTTCGAGTCTATCTCGACCGAAAAGTAAAAATAAATTAGTTGAGTTTCGCCTGAATTGTAAACAACGCTTGATGTTTTATCAAGGCCCAATAAGTGACGGTAAAGTTTATGTCTATAGATGCTGCTCAGTTTTGTTTGTGTAAA